TTTCTCATCTATTTCACATATGTATTCTATATAATGTAAATATTTTTAAAGTGATTCCATGAGAAAGACTTTTCTGCCAGAAACAATCAAATAGATCCTCAAGAGAATATGAAATAAATAAATATGCTTATTTATATACGACAAATATTTGATCCAGTGAACAAAAAAAAATGAAAGTTCTTTATTACAAGACTAAAAGACAAGACATAGAAGATTCTAGAAGGGAGAACAAATATTTTTCAAAATAAATGACATTCTAATTTCAAATATCATGCAGTAAAACTTTCCGTGACTACGAAGACTTAAAATTGCTACAGTTATTATCAGTTTACACATGTTTACATATCAATACTTGAAATATACAAAGACTGAAAAATATAATATTTAACTTGCTTTAAAAATTTAATGTATTTGGAAGTTAGAAGTATACAGAAAATGAAATAGAGTAGAAGTTGTTAAACTCAGGAAAACATGGGGAGCAATTTCTCTGTGTTGATGCTGCTTGAGGCCAAAAGGAGCAGAGATTCACATTTTGGAAGGACTACACTTGCTCTTTGTTCAATTTATTTTGTGCTGTCTTCTGGGGATGTTTGTTTACATGGGGCAATCTTCCTACAAAATTTCAGTATATTTTAAATTATAAACTTAAAAAATAGATGTTTCATACAAAATAGTTCTGTTGTTACAACTCTAGAGTGATTGAAAGCAAACAATCACTTCCTATTTTTGTATGATGTCTGGTATGATTTCTTTGATAGATGATTATTTAACTTTGCTTAAATAACAATGGTTTGTAAGTGCTGAATATTTCACTGAAAAAAAAGAAATGCACCAAGCAGCATCTTTGTGCAATTTGTATTCGAGCTTCCTTTTATTATCTCACTGATTTTCCTTTTTTTAACATTTCCGCTCCCACACAAACTGCTACCAAAGCTGCAGCTTCATCAAGTGAATACTAACTAGATGATCAGTTGTTATTGATATGTTGATAATTTAAGATTTTCCTGCTGACTTCTGTGTATTACTGCTTTTTTACATGCTGATAGGAAGTGGAATGATAATTTTTGTGAATATTATATTTTCTTTTTATTAATCCCAGCTCAAAAAAAGTTTTATATTCATTTAAATAGCTTTTCATTCAGTTTTGGTCAGCTTTTTATAACTATACATACACATTTTCATGAACGGTGATACATTACATTAGAATTTTTTCTTTCAGTGTGAGAAATCAATCCATACAGGACTCTTGTTGAAAAGTTACTTATTGTAATGTTAAAATAAAATTACTTTTTATTGTGAATCATGTGCTGGTATCTTGACTATTATACTAGTTTAGAAGATTAAGTATCTTGGTCCTGCTTTAGAAAACTGTTCCAGTAAATTTTTCTCTGTTCCTCTTTAATCCTGTAATTTGATTGTATTTTGAAATTGCCAACTATCTGCTCATTCTGATGTGCATGAAGACTTAACCATATCTATCTTGGAGTCAAAAAGAGATATATAGTTATATATATAACAACCATGGATTTGCAGCACATAACTGGGTTATTTTCCTCTTTTTCTCATTTTTTCCTTTCTGATAGATAAACCACCTCATATTGAATAAAGACAGTATGATTCATAAGAGAGTGATCAAGCTGTATTCCATTTGTTTTCTTACTATAGCTACAGTGAAATTGAGAGGGAAACTTTTCATTTGTCAGAAAGCTGACAGCACTTAAAAAGAGTTATTTCTTAAAAATGTTCTTGCAGTAACTAGCAATCCATAAAATCAAAGAAGTACAAAGAAACTTTGCCCAGCAACAGTGCATCCCTGTGTGCAAGAAGTCAGGCAGAGGGGGCAGGAGACCTGCGTGGATGAGCAGGGAGCTCCTGGCAAAACTTCAGCAGAAGAAGTCAGTATACAGAATATGGAAGAAAGGACAGGGCCCATGGGAGAAATACAGGAGCGTTGTCAGGGAATGCAGGGATGCTACAAGGAAAGCCAAGCCACACTTGGAACTAAATCTGTTAAGAGCAASAAGAAAAACTTTTTCAAATATATTAACAACAAGAGGAAGGTCAGGGAGAATGTGGGTCCACTAGTGAATGGGGTGGGTACCCTGGTTACAGAAAACACGGAGAAAGCAGAGCTGCTGAATGCTGCCTTTGCTTCTGTGTTTGTCAGGGGCAGCCCTCTAGAATCCCAGGCCCTAGGGACAMRWGAAGAGAGMYRGAGAGAGGAAGWCTTGCCYTGGATAGAGGAAGAGTGGGTCAGAGAGCACCTAAGGAAACTCGACACCCACAAATCCATGGGCCCTGATGGGATGTACCCCACGGTGTTGCGGGAACTGGCAGATGTCATAGCCAAGCCGCTCTCCATCATCTTCGGAAGGTCCTGGAGAAYGGGGGAGGTGCCGGAGGACTAGAAGAAAGCCAACGTCACTCCGGTCTTCCAAAAAGGCAAGAAGGAGGACCCTGGCAACTACAGGCCGGTGAGCCTCACCTCCGTCCCTGGAAGCGTGATGGAACAGCTCATCCTGGCTGCTCTCTCCAGACACATGGAGGAGAAGAAGGTGCTCAGGAGTAGGCAGCATGGATTCACCAAGGGGAAATGATGCTTGACTAACCTGATTGCCTTCTATGAAGGAGTGACTAGCTGGAGAGATGAGGGCAGAGCGATTGATGTCATCTATCTGGACTTGAGCAAGGCTTTTGACACTGTCCGTCACAGCATCCTCCTGGGCAAGCTCCGAAGGTGTGGGATAGATGAGTGGACGAGGAGGTGGATTAGGAATTGGCTCAGTGGCAGGGTGCAGAGACTGGTAGTCAATGGCACGGAGTCCAGTTGGAGACCTGTAGTTAGTGGTGTCCCCCAGGGTCCTTGGTCCTTATTCATTAACGACCTGGATGAAGGGATGGAGTCCTCCCTCAGCAAGTTTGTCGATGATACCAAACTGGGAAGAGTAGCTGATGGCCCTGAGGGCTGTGCTGCCATCCAGAGGGACCTGGACAGACTGAACAATTGGGCGATAAGAAACTTCATGAAGTTCAACAAGGGCAAGTGCAGGGTCCTGCACTTGGGGAGGAATAACCCCGGACACCAGCACAGATTAGGGGTGGACCTGCTGGAGAGCAGCCCTGCAGAGAGGGACTTCGGCGTCATGGTGGATGTCAAGATGACCATGAGGCAGCAATGTGCCCTGGTGGCCAAGAAGGCCAATGGGATCCTGGGGTGTATTAAGAAGAGCGTCTCCTGCAGGTCGAGGGAGGGGATCGTTCCCCTATACACAGCCCTGGTAAGGCCACATCTGGAGTACTGTGTCCAATTCTGGGCTCCCCAGTACAAGAGGGATGTGGAGCTGCTGGAGAGAGACCAGCGCATGGCTACAAGTATGATCAGGGGCCTGGAACATCTGCCCTATGAACAAAGGCTGAGAGAGCTGGGCCTGTTCAGCCTGGAGAAGAGAAGGCTGAGGGGGGACCTGCTCAGTGTGTATAAATATCTCAAGGGAGGCAGTGAGGAGGAGGGGGGGGGGGCCTCTTTTCAGTGGTGGCCAGCGACAGGACTAGAGGAAACGGCCACAAGCTGAGGCACCAAAAGTTCCACAGGAACTTAAGGAAACATTTCTTGACAGTGAGGGTGACAGAGCCCTGAAACAGGCTGCCCAGGGAGGTTGTGGAATCTCCTTCTTTGGGGTCTTTAAAACTCGCTTGGACACAGCCCTGTGCCATGTGCTCTAGGTGACCCTGCGTGAGTGGGGGGGTTGGACTAGATAACCTCTGAGGTCCCTTCCAACCTTAAGCATTCTATGATTCTATGAAAACTAAAGAGTTATTTCCTCATGTACCTCTCTGTGATATGTTTTCCATAAAATAGCAGTCTATAAACTATTAAACTGTTGATTTCTGAAAACTTGCTTAACGTAAGATTGTGTTTGATGTGTTAATACAAAAAAAAATCTTTACCTGGATTCATACATTTGGTCTTTAGTAAATGATCCAAGCATCTATTTTAAAATTACTGCAGATGTTGCAAACATTATGAAAAACTATTTGCAATGTGAGCCATGCAAATATATTCATAACTTTTTGTTAGTTACAACCCAAAAGCTAGGTAATAAAAAATAAACTGATTCTTAATTTTTAATTGTATTCTCCCAAGCCTTCATCTTAATACAGTTCAGCATTTAAAATTCATGAGCCTGAACAAAGAAATATATTCCCTGACTTTAACAAAATTCTTCAAATAAGTTTTTCAGATGTGAGTTATAATTTTGTACTGTGAGTTGGAAAGCAGGAAAAGAATGTAGAAAAGTAGATTGCAATAGTAATGAGCTTTATTAAAAAAAAAATCTACATATTTAAATTTTCATGTTGATATTTGAATTTTTTTGAAAATACACATTTTAAAATTAATTAACGTTCAAAATTAATCAATACCATAGTGTCCATGGTTAGGTTCATATGATTTCAGAAAATTTAAAAGAGCTAATTCTTAAAGAGACTGGTCTGATTTAATGCAATTGAATGAAAAAATAGGTATGTTATTATTAATCCAGATATAAATCACCAAATTATTTTTATAATGACCTTAAAATATCTTTACAATCCCAGAGACCATGTGATTTTAATACCTCTTCCTCTTTAATGTAATTACCCTTACAAAAATCTGAAGGAGGAAATACTATTGACTTCATCTTAGAGTTTGGGAATGGAGTTCCAGAAAGTTTTAAGGTATGTCTACATGGATATATTTCTAGCTGCATATCCCAGAGACAGTTAACATGTTAATATTGACATATAAAATAAAAATACTTAGGTTATATGTTACAGTATGTTAGAGTTCTCTACTGTATCACAGCTAGTGCTGTTTCTCAACTGAGACATAGTAGCACAGTAAAAGACGACCAGCTCCTTAAATTGCTGCTCAGCTGTGCCTGAGCACAATTAGCTGAGGCAGTAGGCAGTATAATGGGCTTGCACTTTATATCAGGAACTTCTGGGGATTTTCTTGAAGGTAATGGAAGGTTTCTGGGAATCTTTTTAAGAGCTGGAGATGTCTATTACTGATAGGTAAGGAGAAGTGGGAAGGGCAGATCCAGGAGAGTTTGACTTCTCCTAAGAAATTCTAGAAGTAGATAACAAGTTGTTGGCTGCCTGGTGGTCCTTGCTCCTATTGACTTCTGATTAGAGAGAATTGAATGCTCTTTAGCCAATGTTGGGGCCTACCTAAGGGCTAGAGTACAGCTACAATAGCTTTTGTAGACTGATTTGAAGGAGAGCCTGGTAAATCTGGGCAGGTTAGATCATATGCCCTCAGCTAAGAGGGTGATGCCCCGCAAGGCATGGTCACCAACAGCTATTTCAGCAATTACTTCTGTAGCATCAGAAGGCCCTTCTCCCTTTCAAAAGGAAGAAGTTCTTCAAGTCTCATATTACAGGGAGGAGTCATTTGGGGCTAGAGTTGATGGTTTCTCTGCTTGCAGGAGTTATGCAGTCATTGAAGAGCTCAGCTGCCAGAGAGCTGCAGGAGGAGGTTATGAGAATGTATAGCACCAGAGATTGTGAAAAAGAGACTGGCAGATCTTCAGAGATCTCTGAGAGCTTGCAGCTTTTTGAGATCAAACTTTCAACGCTAGTGGAGGGACTGACAGAGTCAGTGCCTGTGGAGACAGAAAGTGGCACTCCCATAATGGCCAAAGCTGGAAGCTGGTGACTTCTGACCCAAGGAGGCAGGCTCCAGGAAACCTTGCAACTTTGGAATTGATTCATTAACCTCATAAAGAAAAGGAAGCAGAAACATTCTGAAATGGAGTGTATGAGCCAGGTGAACTTCACAAATACACGAAGAGGAAGTGTTTCCAGTGAGAAACACTGGAAAGAGTTCACAAACAATGCCTGTTTGTGAGACTCCACCTGCCAATTTAGATCTGCTATCAAAGGATGATGCTGCTTGCCAGGGGTTCATGTATGGGATGTTGTGGAGAAGCTGCTGAGGGTTTTCTGGTCACCAAATTATTACTCCTTGGTTCTATTCCATATGGGTACTAGAGACACTGCCTGGGAAGACTTAGAGAACATCTAATGTGATTACATCAATTTGGAGGAAATGGCCAAGCGTATGGCTGTCCAGTGATTGTCTTTAACCCTCCTTGTGATGGGAAGTGCCTGAGTAGGACTGAAAGGATTCTCTGGGTCAACACTTGATTGTGCAACTGTTGTCAACTACAGGGATTTTGTTTCTACAACCATGGGATACTCTTCTAGAACTGACTATTGCTCGTCTTAAAAAAAAAAAAAAAAAAAAAATCTGTGTATAACATGGCTATGAATAACAAGCTTTTATTATTCACTCTTAGATTATCCTGTCAGACTAAACCAATCACAAGCCAAATTGTCTTTTTACCCAAGTTTCAGTTACTCATAAGTACCAGGGCTTGCAATTATGAAGCTTCTTCCAGGTGTCCAAACAGCATCATCTTTCTGCTTCTGATTAAGCAGTTTGATTCAGACAGTCATATTGCTCTGATACTTGATATGAGCTCTCCACTTGTTTACCACCTATTTCAAAGCTAACCTCTTTGGAGGTTAGCCAACACTTTGCATAGAGTGCAGCTCCTCATGTTTATGGCCTGTGTTGTTAAAAGCCTATATCTATCTTTTACAGCATTTCAGTCATAGAAAATATTTTACCGCATCTCTCTAATCCCAATCTGTGGTTTACAATGGGAATCTAATTCCTCTTGTCCCTTTCATTGTTTTTATTTGTGTAAAGGAGCTTAAAACTGGTACCCAGCCATGCTCTTTTCTGAGAAAAGATGAGAAATCCTAACTCATTACTCTGTCTTGTGAGTGCTTCCTCGATGTTTCACCTAAGGGCATTTATTTCCCTTCAGGCTTTTGTCCTTTCCCCACAGCTAACTTTTTTTGTTAAAAGTTGACCTCAACAGTTTGGCAAACCTGCTGGCAAAGATGTTCTATTTCTACTTCATGATATGAATACTGTCTCTCTCCAACACTTTTGTTCCTCCAGGAGGGCCTTGGGATCATAAAAGCCAGGGTTCTACCATGACTCCAGCTGCACAACCAGGTATTGGCTTGTGGGTTAAATCTCTCCTCTCCAAGCCTTGCCTCTTACGTAGCAGGATTAAGGTGAATATCGTTTGGATAAACATCATACCTATAGCCCTGTAGGTATGATAAACATCATACCTATAGCCCTGTAGGTATGATGTTTATCCAAACACCAGCCAAGCCATGTATCACAGCTCTTGATGTGTTCAGGGTCTCCCTTAGCAGTATCTTTGGTGCCTACATAGGTATCTAGCTAGGCAAGCTAGTTAAATTAGTCAGGCAAACAAGTCAGTCTGCTGCATGTTTGATCTGCACTCTTCACAAGCAGCAGCTTTCATAAGACAGCAAGCCTCGTCAGCAGAGGAATGCCTCTCTGCCCTATAGAAGGGTGTCTCTGACTATTGCTCACCCCATATTCTCCTGTACTGACTCAGATCAGGCTCAGCTTGCGAGATGCCTCCATTGATAGAACCTGTTTCTCTTCAAATGTTACCATATCTCTTTCTTTAAAAACAAATCTGTAGGTGAAGAGAGAACATTCTTATTGACAAAAGAAACAAGCTTCCTGCCTCTCCCATATCAGAAGTCTTCGTGCTTTATTCTTTTGAGCATAGCCCCAATCGTCTCTCCATTCATGTGGAGAGTGTACTAAGGTGCTTCTCTTTGCAAGGTTGCCATGAAGAATCTGTCTGTGTCTTCATTTTTCCAGCAGACAGCTGTCGTTTGTTCAATTCCTGCAGACCGAGTGCCTCAACTAGATTGCAACTAGCTTATGAAGTGAGTAATGATCCCAGCAAATCTCAGGGAAAGCACCAGGCACTTCCTACAAATATAGACATGGGTGGTTTTATCCTCCCTCTGTGATTCAACTTGGACAAACATTTTAATGTATTAGAGAAGTTGCTCCAAATGATGCCCTGTTCCATATCACTGTGGCAGCACTGACTCTAGGCATTCCCTATCTCTGGCCCTCTATGCATCCACTCTGTGGCAACTCTTACATTAACTGCTGAGTCCGTATGTACTTATTCGTGGCCCACAACTCTAAAAGTAGTCAAAAACAGGACAGGAGGGATCTCTATTCCAGCTTTGGAAACTATGATACTATCCAAAGTAGAATGTAAGATTCCTATGGTTGCAGTTGGAGAGGAGACATCTCCCTAAAGAAAACTTCTGGACTACAGTCTATTCACATGACTACTTACTCATTTTTTAATTCAACATTTGCCAGAAAAAAAATAGTGTTGGGAGGATTGGAATGTGTTGCTTTTTTTTTTTTTTTTTTTTTTGATGCAAGCTGATGCATACAGCCTTCTTTGGGACTTTTATTACAAGCTGAATTTCTTTCATTGTTATGAATGCATTTTTCTTCCTAATTGCATGTACCATATTTGGTGTAACAACTTCTCCCTTTCTAATCTTCTTGAGAAAAATTTATCCATTTTTTAAACTGCTGATACTTTTATTGATTTGAAATTGATAAGACTTATTTTATCTCTTATTGCAAAACAATATCTACACTGCATTCCTAAGAATTACAAAATCAATAGAAAAATGTTTGCAGCTAGAGATAAAAATGCTTTGGTGCTAAGTCTGAAGTGCTCTTTTTTATCATAAAATCTTTCATTTTATATTTCAAAAAGATTGCTACATAATCTGTTTACAGAGAGCTCTCTCATGGATTATCTAAAGACTTTTTACTTGGACCTTTAAATCAGCAGCACTGAAGCTGTGCAGAACAATAATGACAGTATTTCCTTCTCCTTTACAGTCATTGTAAAGGATTTCTTTGTTTATGTAAGTATATAACTTAATAATTTAAGAGATTGTGCAATATTTTTCTAAGTTATTAACAAAGTATCAGAATTTGCAATATTTTTAGTACAATTAACACAAACTGCGAAAACTGTATGCATAGTCTAACTTGGAGAAACTACATGGAGAGATGCTTTACCAAGTTTGCAAGTAATATAGAAACATAGATCACAGAAACATAGAAATATAGGACTGAAGGACAAATATAAAATGATTGCTTATATGTGAGCTGTGAAATGGAATATTTTCATGTCCACCCTCATGAAACAGAGAGAGGAAAATTATATAGTACCTAGTGATGAAAGCAGGGACTAATTTTTCCTGTGTTTTCTTTTACAGGATATCTTACATATAGACATGCCTGTTAGAGAATAAATATGTTCCAAAACTGTGCTTGAAGTGATGCCAGAGAGAAAAATCTCACTTTTTTTTTTTGTTTTTAAGTTGCTTATGGTCTCTAAAATACCTTATAAAAAAGTATCTTTCCTTTTGAAATATCTCTGCTTATTATCACACGAGGAATGTTCTAAATCTGGATTATGTCTGAATCCCTTTCTTAGCTCTGACTGAAAACCTGTCTTTAAAAATGACTACCTACGCAAAGTTTGGTGGAGATATTGAATATGAGTAGGTCTGATGCAAGATACAGTTTAAGAAGACTTTCTTAAAACTGTTCTTTTTTTTTCTGCCATTTTCAAGTAAAGTATTAATACTAAAAGATGGTGTATATATTTAATAAAGGATATATTCTTAGCAGCTGTCACATTTTACAGATCAAGAACTAGAAGGGAGTTTAACTCTGCCTCTTCTGATTTCAGGTGTTATCTAAGGATTTAGCAATTATACAATTGCTAAATAGAAGCAGAAACCCGAGACAAAGTTGAGAGGGTCAGCCAAGCCGATTTGTTATCTGTGTAGCAGAAAAGAAGTCAGCATTAAAAGTTTTACTTTTTGTCAGGAAAAAATGAATTTTGTGAATGTGATAAAAAAAAATAAACTTATGTTGACAAATAAGATCTGACTGTACTGTACATGGATTAGGAAAATTGCATATTTAACACCAGGGATGGGTCAGAGGTCCAGGTTAGATATCTAAATTCAAATGCATAGAAGTAGGTGTAGTCACATTTAACTAGTTATTAAAGCCATCGTGAACTGAATAAATATTATATTCAGTGGAGACAGAGTCAATACAGCCGTCTAAATATAGTCTTGAGTCCCACTCTGTAAGATATCCAAGATGTTTGCCTGATGCTGAAAAATTTGACAGGAACTACAGTGTACCTTCGTCCTTCAAAACTGGCAACTGGAGGCCAGGGGGATGCTGCAGGGCATCTCAAACAGCACAGTACAACTTTATGGACACCTAAAACAAGATCCACTGACTGTACTGAATATGTTTGCATAGTCTATTATGGAAGCTTAGTCACCTAGCTAGTGTGCARATTGTTATAATTAGATGTCTATACTTCAGTGAGTAAAACTCTGGGGTTAAAAAATCCCAATTACATTTTCTCCTGTAACAGAATGGTAGAAACTTAGGTCGCATATAAACCCTGAAATTTTGGTGCGTAAATATTGTTTTCTATGATCTGGAGTTGAATCCCCCCCTTACATCTGAATGTATCAAAACAGAGGCGTTTCTAGATATACAGAATCAATTAGGCATTCTGCATATTTTTCCTCCTCATTATCTATAAAGCAAGCCAACACAACCTCCTCATGTGTATAATATAAATGTATCTTTATTAAGATCTCTATCATTAGTTCCCTATTCTTGCGGTTCACTTAGCTGGTGAAATGGATGGTTGGATGACTGGTGGAAAGTGATTATTTTATAGTTTTAGTCTCTGGTTGCAGTCCAGAAGGGTAGAAGTATTATGCAAGTCCCATGCATTAATTTTATTTTCCCTTTATTAATTGTTGGAAACAAACATGCATATATAAAGGTGTGGCTATCACTTTACAGACAGTTAAGTTTGCTGGTCCTGGAACTTTTCATGATGCTAAAATTGACATATGTGTGTATTCACTAAATGGTCACTAAATGCTAATTAATAATTGAAAAATAACCTCAAATTAGCAAATCTACACAAGTGCTTCATAAACTTCCTATTTTGGTCCATTGAACTTAGCTCTGTCCTGTCTTTAATGACCATCCATTTCTAATCAGGTCTCTAAAACTGGAGATGTCTAAAGCTCAGGTAGCAATCAGGAGCTTGTTTTCAGTAAGTAGAGGGAAATACATTCCTTCAGCAGAAGATGCTGCTTATCATAATGCAACACACGAATCATGTTCAGAATGCTTCTATTTTTCTTCAAGAAAAATAAATGGAAAACCCAGAATGCATTCCAGTAGCTAGTGCATTGAAAATACAATGTTGGTTATACATGCTCTTAAATAAGCACCCTCAAAGATT